ATAGATGGACTATGGGTTTGGGAAAATCATTTCTGTTTTTTTTTTGTTTTTTTTTAAGCCATCTATCCTTTTCCTTTGCTTTCTTTGTCATGGTGTATGGCTGGACAAAAAGTGAAGATCTTACATGATAGCCGCCAAACTTAAGTGTTTCTCTGCTAGGCAAGCTACTTTAAACTGGGTGCTGCAAAGGAATGCTCAGCATAAACAAAGAGACGTCTGGTTGGTTTTTATCCGTCACCCTCTCTATGTTTGGTTGAATAAACTCTTGCAGTTCTGGGTTACTTTTATGCGGACTGGAGTTTCTGAAGCTTAGTGAGTCTGCAGACCAGCAATTAGTGCTGATCATAAACAACCAGCATCCCACTGAGAGCTGTCATGGGTGGCTGCCCTCACAACGACAATTTGGAGTTTCCCCTTTGTCCACAAATGCGTTGCATGTAAAGCCAGCTGCCCAACCTGAGATTTAAATTGTAGGCCTACTGAGAGGACTGAAAGAAAGTTGGAAAGTGTGTGGCAAAATCTCAGGGAAGTAAAAGGAACCCCATGTTGTATAAGCGTGGCTATAAAAGGGTTTAACTCGGACGTTTGCATCCAGGAGGCGTCACACTCCTCAACCTGAATCATTTTTAAATATAGAGGCTGATGCCATCTGAACGTGAGCAATGCCTTATCTCTTTGATCAGATGTGAAACGTTTTCCGATCCGCCTTCAGCTGCGTTGTGATGACCTCATGGTTAATGCATTACTCAACCTAACTCCCCTTCATTTGAAGTTTTATGTTCATACCTTCACGGTGATTGTAGCTGTTCAATCACATGCCAAACTCTACCTTGTTTACAAAATTTCTGACTTGTGACATCATCTGTGGATAAATAGTCACTGGCTTATGTTTGGATTGGCTAGGAATGGAGGTAGTATGGGCCGTCTTTCCCAAATGTTGCCCCAAATTTAAAACCTTGAGCTAGGTTTGAACTCTAGATGTCTTTTTGAGTTTGAATCATGAGTTTTTAGCCTCATGTGATTATCATGCTGATGTTTATTGTGCAGGGAACAAAATCTAGCTTGAAATCTCTGTGAGTCAGCTGGCTGCTCCTTCTGTGGCTTTCTATCCCATTTGCAAGGGATGCAATTTAAGATGCAAGCCTCAGTGGGACAAGCAGATCAGCATTTAAACTGGAAAGTAAAATATTTTAGGAAACTGGTTAATGTTCTTGTAATAATCTAATTGAAAACGGAAAATGTCTTTCTTTTTTCATTTGGTGGTTCCCAATATTTTCATGGGGAAGAATAAAAGATTCCTGCAATCTTTTGAAGTAATTGGAACTTGATTATATATTTGTTTTGGTTTGGATAAGAATGTTAAAAAAAATAAAGTGCAGGAAAAAAGCATGACTTGTATTTTCTGGTTTTATTCTGGTCCTATTAACTAAACGTCTGTCCTAAGCATTAGAATAGCACACAGCGTGTCTTGTAAATGACTATTTCTTGGATTGTGGCTCCTGTCTAGTAAGGAGTGAATACCTGATACTTGCTGTTTCAATCCAAATCCTTTAATATCATATACGGTTTCAGGGTTAGTTTGATACAAAGTCTTTTATCCAGGTTCGGTTGAGCTCTGCCTGTTTTCTTCCTAGGAGGATCTCAGCAGTTCTTTAAGTTAAAGATCAAACAACTGTCACACATGCACAACGTGTAAATTATTATGGTCCAACTACATTCCGTTGCCATGTCGGTTCAGTCCTGATAATTTCTAAAGGGAGGTATACCATATCATTGTAATAGCAGACTGTGTATCTGAAAGTCCTGCAGCTAAAGGAGAGGTTAGAGGAGATGCTGGTGCTGTTAGGGTGCAATAAAACACTGGCATCACGGCCATTTGTATTCATCTCTGTATTTATGCTGATTGCCTTGCTAAATTCACAAAAAAACACCTGGAAATGTTCGGCCGCCTGTGTCTTTAAAAAAAACAACAAAAAACAAACTGTGGTGCTATGGTAATTAGAGCTGGAGGAAGGAAGTGGCCATGTCTAAAACTAAGAGTAAATGAAAGCCCAGGGGAGACTTGGCCAGGATCTGTGTTTTAACTTCATACTCAGGGGCACTTTAGACCTATTACTTCACTTTAACCTAAAAGCATTTTAACTTTGTTGTCTCCATTGGTATCAAATTATGTGGGAAGTGTCTGGCCTAAGCTTCAGGAATGTGAGGATTATCGTGTATCTATGGATCATTTTCCACCTTGTTTACTTTGATGTCTTATTTCTTCTATTCAGTTTGAAATGGAAAAACAACAAAAAAAAAAGAAAAAAAGATGAACAGCAATGAAGACTAATGAATAGATATATAGAATCTCAAAAATCTAGAAAGTAAAAATTATTGTTATTTTATAAAGGAATAAAAACAATGTTAAAAATAAAATTTTATTAATCTTTTCAAACTTTTTTGCTCACTTAGACCTATGCTAATGTATTCTATTTTCTTTTATACTTGTATTTAAATCTTTAAAGATTTATTTTTATAAAATCAACCTGCTAACAGCTTTTAAATCCACACAGTCGTGCTTTAAATCATTCTTGCTGGACAGTTTTCAACTATGATTTAACCTGAAGGTCATAATTACTTTTATTCGATGCAATAATGTATCTATATCAATATAAACAAAGTAGAAGCATCAGGAAAAACTGCCAAGAATGTCCACAGAAGACTCCTGTGTAAACTTCATTATTTTTGTAATGTTTATAAAAATCCTTCAAACTAACATTTTAGAATTTACTCCTTTAAAAAAAACATAATATTAAATGCGACCCGGAACCTCATCCTATGACTAATAATATAATTATAGATTGTAATGTGCATTTAAATATTGGAAAAGTAATATGATCCTTATTAAAATGAAATTATATTGTGACTAGAAACAATTCATCTGATTAATCCTGATTAATCGATTATTGAAATAATTGTCAACTAATTTAATGATTGATTAATCGTTAACTGGGGTATAGAGACTCTAAAACACACCTTATCTAACAGAGCAAACCACTTAGAGCAAACGTTTACCAAAATTGAAAAAAATATATATTTAAACATTTTACAGTTAAGATAAAAAAATTGTGACATAATAATATTAAATCATTGTTGACTCCTAATCAATGCTAAGTAAATGTGCAACATAACCTTTTATGTTCAACAAAAATTTGGTTTGGCTTTCCTACAGCTACTAATAAATGCTAAAGGCAATTATTAATAGGATGGACAAAAGGCGAGATAATCCCCCAGCGGGGCCTACAGTGGCCTTTATGTTAGCATTAGCAATCAGATTACATCACTATAATCTCCCTGGTCTCTAAGGTCTCTGCTGGCATGCATCTATGCAGGTTAGTTAGAGCAAAGCAACATGTAACACAGAGAAAACAGACTTAATAAGCTGTTTTAGAAGCTAATAGCCTGTGGTTGGCTGCTGGGTGTGAGTGGAGCAAGTGACTGACATGTTAACCCTATCAACAGGAAGTAGCGGTCAACGATGCGAAAGATGCATTTCGAGCAACGTGCATTAAGAACGAAGCGAAAAGTCGATAACGCAAATCAGTATTTAAAACCCTAACCCAGTATTTATAAACCTGAACTTTACTGCGATAACCAATCAGGGACTGGACGGCACTGTGCAACAGATACACTAAATTATATCCATTTACACTTTTATTTAATTGGATAACTGTATAAACGAACCCATTCTATTAAAACATATAGTAGAAAATACCGATACAGATTTCCACAAATAAAAATTAACAAAAAACTGCAAATAGCATGGAAACCTACAAAGCTGCAAGTGGGTTTAAAAAACTAGCTTGTTTTCCCACACCCACCCCCTACGCTCTCCTCCACCTACTGACCACTAGAAACTAATGTTTGTGTTGGATTATATGCTAAAAAGGAAATAATTTTAGCATGTGTACTTGCTTTGAGTGTAAACAGCTTTTCCTCCCCAGGCCCTTAACTCTAATAGTTTAAAACCGCATGCTGAACTCTACAATAACAATTCCTTATTTAGCTTGTTTTCTTGCCTGAGCCGACTGCCGGGTAAGAGGGTGAAACATTACAGCAGAGATTAATTTAAGGGAGGGGAGTGGCTCCTGTCTAATTTCTGTCGACTCACTGCTTTAAATGGGAAGTGGGACGTGACAGTGTTGGTATTTGCCTGTTATTCAGTCAGCATTATTCATTCATCCTGGTTCTCTGTCTTTCTGATCTGATCGTTAGCGTCCACCAGAAAGGAGCTGTGTTTGTTCTGTGCTCTGTCACGTTCACAGCTCAGTTCCTTTTTGGAAAGCAGTGACCACTAAGAAATCATTATTTTATGTCTAGATGATGTGAGGAAGATGTGGGTCAATTCTCTTTGTTGGTATTCAAAGCTTTGTGATTATTATGGTTTTATACTCTATCTTAAATGTCTGATGATTGTGGTTAAAAGTCCTTACTGATCACCCTCTGCCTTCTAAACTTTATAATTAGGTGCTAATTTTAAATCAGTTTGATGCATCAGCTCATTATTGCTTTTTGTAGAATCAGTCATTAGATGCAGACTGGCCATCGTAAGCAGTTCTAGTCTCTCTTGATTTTAAACCAATATAAAATGATGGTATGGTTCATGCCAAACTCCACCAGGTGGCTCTAAATTGGTTGTTTTTTGCATAATTAAAAGCAAAACTATTGTTAGTTTTAACCTTCAGGGCCGATCAAGCTAAAAATTAGTCCACTCTAACCTGCTTACCTCCAGATGAAAGTTGTACACTCGGTACAGAGTTCTGAGCTATTCAGATCATTCACCTTCATCAACCAGAAAAGCAAGCTGTAGGAATGTTTGAATGTCTTTTTAGGCTGAATCTCTATTTTTGTTATCTAGCCTTACAATCATATTGGATGTCGGAGGATGCACTCGTATCTTTTGGTGACATTAATCCAATTTCTGCCATGTTTCTGTGGCTTTTTTTTTTATTTTGTAGGAAAACTGACTGCAGCCAGAAGATGTTCTGCGGCTTCATATGAACCAGCTGGAGTGCTGAGACTTCAGGCTTTAGAAGATCAGAGGAAACAGGGAAGCTATAACCTGGCAGGTGAGCCAAGTCAGACTTTCTGTTGCCGTTTATTACCTAACTGCCTTCATTTGCTGAGTTTAGCAATTATCACAGCGGGGCTGCTGTTTCCCTTTAAGGTGTAATCTCTTATGGTTTGACAGTTTTACATAAGCTCTCCTTTTTTCTGCTGTATAAGAAAAATGACTTTTATCCCAACACCTTTTCATGAACTTTAGTTATAGATATTTTTCTGTCATTATAGAGATTTAGAAGGATTTCGGTGCCATGCAGGGTTCTACATATAAATCACTCCTTACAGTATAAAGAGGAGCTGTTGTGTAAAGTCATAACTGGGGGTTAGCTTTCTTGAAGAGATTGTTGTTGATCTATTAGTCATTATGATATCTTGCGCTCGTTTAAATATCCGGATGATTCTTCATTTACATAATGCTGTAGTCAAGCTTTCCCAGGCAGACTGGAGGGCATAATGTGTATTTCTGCTTGTCCTTGCTTGCAGAATGTGATCATTCTTTGTCTTTCTTGTTTTTCTTCCTGATTTATCTTTTTGAGTGGAATCTAACTTTGATATAAGACAACAAAACCTAACATCTAATCTTGCATATTAAGCTATTTTGAAATAACTTTAGCGTTGTTGTTGTGAGTGAGTCAGTAAGGTGGATGAAAACAGCCGAGTAAAAGAAATATCCAGTTTCTGGGTCACTTTAACCTTTGATAGATCATGCCTGACTAATTTTATAAAAAAAATTTATATTAGGATGTAAAGGTAGATTTGAAAAACCAAACTTATTATTATCTCTCTGTAAATTTGATCTTTTTCAATGTACATCAACTTATTTTTATTCTTAAATTGTTTCTGGTTCTGAGCTATTAATTTAATTAGCAGAATCTAACAAAATAAATTTGTCATATTGCAGAGGAGTGTGATTTGTGTCACATTACCTTTAAAGGAAAATTCTGGTCATATTCAGAATTCAAACTTCTGAAAGTACTTTGAATCTGGAATTATTACATACTGTTCAATAAATTATAAGTGTGTTTAATTAAGAGTCTTTTTGATTTCAATGTGTTTACTGGAGACATCCATGTTTGTCAAAGAACACTACTAACACCTACCGGTTTGTGACTTCATCGTGTGGTATTGACTGTTGATCAAGTCCCAATGCTGTATCTGGTGTTTGCCACACCGCGCTATTATCCAGATTATATTGAAATCATTCTTCTTCAAACTGTTGGCTGCATATGGCGGGTTTTTTCTCTGGCCAGAAATTCGATGGCAAATACTCCCTCTTCAAGTTGGTAATCCAACGACGAACCTGTGGTAGATCATGAATCGAAAAGGTGAACACATTTTTTTTTTTCACTTTTACCCGATTTATTACAACATCCAACTGCATGTGGGCATCGTCACTTTAACTATAGCTCTCATGAATTTCAATGGAGAAGTCCTCTCGAAATGTAAAATAGATGTTGTTGATTGCAGACGTTGAGTATTAAAGCGGGGAGAATGGCGCTAGACTTACCGCAACGTGACATCACTGCCGGAAGATATCAGCAGTGAGGTGTTACTATATTCGGGTAAAAATGGCCGGTCCTAGACAGATCGAGGGTTTGTTATTTTTTATTTTTTTACTGATTAACACTAAATTCAATAAAATCACCATGAATGTATTTGTTTTAGGTATAAATAATGATCCATTGATCAATCCTTGCTGACCAGACTTTTCCTTTAACAGTAGTAAGAAACTGAATTACTCCCTTCAGCCCTTTAGTTGGCATTAATGCTTTTAAAGCAGGCTTTCTGGCACACAGACGGGAAGACTGAGTTGCAGATAGCCTGCAGAACCATGCATGTGAATAGAAGTGATAATAGAAGTAGGCACTTTTCAACATGGTGAAAGTACTGCAGCACTGGAGTACAGATGAGAAAGTTTTCAAGGTCATAAATACATCAACATGCCTGTGGTTAATAAAAATGAACCTTAAAATTTGATTGCAATTGTAATTATGGTTGAAAATTATTCAGATTTATTTCAGTTACTGCATCAATGTGAGTTTTGGAGAAAATGTTTCAGCAAAATCTTTTATTGTATTGTATTATTTTGAGATTTTTAAGCGTTCAATGAAAATGAAATGTAGTAGAGTTTGGTTTAAGTGTGAATGAATCCTGGTTTATTTGCTGCTGCTGGTTGTTGCTTTAAATAACAAAGATCACAAAATTTACTGATAATAGATTTGCAGTTTAATCTGAATTACTTTGAGCAGAATGGTAGGATAAGCTTGAAATGTTCAGTTTAGTGGACTGGACGTGAAGTTTTCTAGAAGACGTTTCACCTCTAATCCAAGTGGCTTCTTTAGTTCTCACTAGTGGTAGGGAGACCTGAGATTAATATATTGTTGGTATAACAAGTTAGGAGGGAAAAAAGGTGGCTATGATAGAAACACTTATTATAAAAACAAATAATAACAATAACAATGAATAGCAAAAAGTAGGGAGCAGCAATGGATGAGCACCGTGTAATCTCTAGGCAGGGCTGCTGTATGCATTGATGATTTTATGAATAAATGCAGATATCAGCTTAGCCTGATAAACCAGAGTAAATCTGAGACTAAATGTTTAATTTAGCCTGGCCCTGATGAATAAGACATCGGAAGATTGTTGATGAGAACAACCCGTTGTTTTTCAAACCATGTCTGTGCCTACTGGCCAATGCTCTGACCAATGAGCGCAACTGACTGTGATGTAGGAAGCGCAACAGGAAGATTGTGGGGGAGTGTAAACAAACAGCCTGTCGTTAAAACAGCAAATACGTCCTTCTTAAAAATGTATGACCGTAGACCTTCTTCCTGCTCACGTTTCAACAAAAACGGCTAATCTTTCGAAAACTGATTCCAAAGCTCAGTCAAATGAGAACTGTTCAATAGTTGTTGCCATCTTCCTTGTTGTACTTTCTCCAGCGTTGCACAGCAAAAATTATTTTGGCCGCTGGCGGGTGGGGCTAATTTACTAGGCTAGTATCCGCCGATACCATACAAGAAATTACACTAATATGAGACTAAAATATTAGCGGCTGATGTATCGGTCTATCCCAAGTTGTAATCGTAGGTTAGTTAAAAAAAATCCATCCCCATTGAAGATAGCGTATGAACAGCTTCTTCAGTTTTAATGCAGGAATACCATTTTACCATCTGTCAGCTAGTTCAACTCTCATTGCTGACAAGTGAAATCAAAAGAATCTAAACTGAAAACTCTCAGGGCTGAAGGGTCTTTAAATGCAAAAGAAAGAAAGCCTATCGTTTTCTTTTTCATTTCTTAATTAAATTTTCACAGACAAACTGACCAATAGACCAGAACCAGAGAGTTTTCAATGTGACTGGTCAGTCATAAACGCCAAACCTCATCTTTGTGTTAGGAGAGAGCACATCAGAACTTACCTGGTAGGATAACGGTGTAGGTACCAGATCTGCTCGGGGCCCTGCCGCTTCTTATGACGTCAATATATGGCAACTCCGTTCGGACAAACTGTATTGCACCCGTTTGTTAAGGATTGAATCTCTTTTGGATTTTCAGTATATTATTACCTTTATTTGCTATTATTTCACATGTCATTGGCGATCTAAAGTAGCCGAAATTAGAAAACAATCATTGTCAGTCTTGAAGGAAAGCACTGCCTCTGCCATTTAACAAGGTAAAAAAAAAAAATCTCAGCTTATTTTTATTCTTTTTGTTAAGATCTGAGGGCAGGGGAGGACAAATGGGACATCTTAAAAAATTATTTTGGTAGAGATTTTAGACAAATAAAACAGTTATTCTACTTGTAGAAAATGAACTGTTGTTGTTGATACAAATTCAAAAGTAGTGTAGCTTAATATGGTCTAACTGAGCTAAAATAGGCTAACCTGTTGGCTACTGAGCACAGCTAGCCACAGCGCTACCCAGCTCTCCCCCTTTACACCATGGTCTAACAGTTACTTTGTTCACCAGAAACAGATTCTTTTCAGTTTTGTTATCTATGAAGTAAAACTTTATCGGTCATTAGACACAGTAACACTACAGATACTGCCGACTCCGGACACAGATGCTGTGTTCAGCCAATCATATAGTGTAACGTCAATGGCATGCGCAGGACCCCGAGCAGACCTGACCACCCGAGCAGATCTGGTACCTACACCGGCACCAGTTTAGGTGGAAACTCCTTCTATAGAGCAGAGTCAAATATAACTTTATTTACCATCAGTAAGGTAGTTAGAGTGAAGTCAGAGGAAGTACAGAGATGTGAGGTCAGAGGAAAGTTTATTTTTAAGACGTGTTGGTACCATCAGCCGCAAGACAATGAGACTTCAGAAAAAAAGTAGGAAGTGCTACAGCAAAGTTCTTTTTTGAACTTTTCACCTCTGTCATGAAACAAGCAGAAAATAATTTGTCCTTTTGATGATCTAAAACCTGATTAACACTGCTGGCTCTGTTGCATTGTGGGAAATTACTTCTCTTAATTTCCTCAATTAATGGTGGCTCACAGTAGAGCTGTTTGGAAAATATTTTCCCTTGTTTCATATCGTTCTTGAACCGTTAATTGAATTGGCCGAAATAGTTTTTTTTTTTTTACAAACTAGAATTGAAATAAATCTACCACACAGTTTTGATTGGATCTGTTTGGTAGTCTCACCTCTATGCATAAATATTTCCTTTTTCAAGGAAACGGCTGCACATTTTTGTCTTTGGTCAAAATGTAATTATTGAATGAACACAAAGTTTACATGAGTTAAGTCCTGCGTGTTTTATAACAGAATTGTTACAAATAAAAGCATTTAAACCTTGATTAGTGAAACTGAGCTTTAGCAAAAAGCTTTTTTCTTTTCTCACTTTAAATGTTCTGTTTCGATGATGGGTGCGATCAGAGTCCAACTGCTCCTTAGTCCCTGTGGAGGTGTAAAGTGTTATGAAAGTCGATGCTTATTGACTGACAGTATGTGCATATGTGTAGATCCATCATTTCTTTGACTCATAGACACTCAGAAAG